TTTCTAGCGCAATATTCGGCAAAAGGATTTTTCTTAGCAAACACTTTCTGGGAAACTATTTAACAGCATCTATGTGGACCTGAACAAATACCATGTTTGAAATAACCTTGTGCCAGCTATTAACATATTGGCTGACTTTCTTTCACAGATAATGTTTGGCAGAAATCTATTTGTTATATTTATTTATCAGAAGTTCACAATCTATATATTTCAACATGGTAACATATATTTGTATTATTACCATGCAGTGAACAAAGATAAACTTTCAGCAAATAGTTTCTGCCAACAATATAAGTGTATCAGGAACAGTACAGCTTCAATTCACTGACTAACGTGCGTTTATGTGTTTTTTGTCTTGTTGATAGCGTTTGGCAGATTCCCGTCGACGATGACAACGTTTACCCAGGGAAGCTACACATGTATGCGATTCACCAGTCTGAGTAATCCAACAAAAAGCGCGCGACTAGCAAAGCTTCAAACCAATGAAAATTATGACAGAATTTCAGTTCGAGTTTGAAGCTTTGTAAAAGTATTATTATTATAATTAATATAAGCAAGAGATTTGCGCGTAGAAGCAGCGTTCTGATGCCTTGAAGAATCTATGTATATTCAACAAAATATTACTAGTACTTGATGTAGTTTGGTACACGATGGACATACTTTCCTATTTTGCAAAAATTCTTGCAAAACATTTATTGAAATTTTATATAAAGCGTTTTCGTGTCCCATTATTTGATTTTTATTTTATTTTACAACATTTATATCTGTAACTGTATTTTAGTTTATTCGTGTATATATGTATTACGAATATACTTCAAAATTGTATTAAAGTAAACTTTACTTTTATTTTTAAAGACAACATTTCGATAAATCTTTTGTAATAATAATTTTTGCATGTGAAGTAAGTCCATCCAAAATTTCGAAAAGATTGGCGAAGTTAGGACAATGTTATAAAATATTGAGAGCTTTTTCCTGAGAATTATGCTGGTCAAACACAATCAACAAAAGTTGTATCGTCTGTGCTTTTTTTTTATTTCTTCAAATTTTTTAACATTATTTGCAAAAGATCAATAATGTTCACTGCATATTATGCTTTTATTATGTTCATTGAAGGCATCTTTCATAAATTGTGAATGACCAGTAGTACATCCTCCTTTTGCCAACTTGCCTGTACTAATTTCTTTTAGTTCCAGAAACTGTATTCTTTTCAGGAGTAATAGGAGTTTTATTTCAGGCGCATTTTGGCAAACTGGATTACCACTCCACCAATCCCATTTTCCTTTCCATTATCCTAGGAATTTATCATTGCGCGAACTTTGGTGCAACATTCTTTAAGCATTAATTCTTTTGTTGTTACACTTTATTTTAATCATAATTGGTTCAACATTAATACAGAAATGTAATCTTCTGTGGATGGAAAGTCAATCTCCCTGTAACGAGACTCGTTTTTCCAAATTACCTTATGAATTTCTTGCTCCTTTTTATTTGAAAGTTGTTCAGTAGGTAGACGAATCAATTGAAACGTGATCAAGTTACGTATGATTTTATACATTAACGAAATGGTGCACCGTAGTTTTTGTGTTTTTGTGTTTTCGGTTAATGGTTTCTTTATCTCGCAAATACGATTCTCTCAATTCTATAAAATAATGCAAAGAACACAGTAGTGTGACCGAGATGAAGAAACATAAAGTACCATTGATCGAAGTCTACTTATGCATGTTACAAATTTTAAGCAAAATTAGTGTTCAGAGCAGTGGAGACCATTCTATAAATTTTACAAACTGCATAATCGCGCGTTCACAATGTTTTGTATTTTACCACTATATTAAGGTTGTACTGTATCTTGGGATAGGGTTCTCGAATGGCTGGAAAGAAACTTTTATGAGTGGAGAACAAGAACCATGGGTATTCCGTGGAGGACTTACGGCTGATCTACAGGTATATTTATCAATCATATCTTTTTTAAGTTAAATATGTAATCAAAAAAGAGAGAGAGAGGGTGGAGGAAAGAAAAATTAATATTAATTTCTTTTTATAGAGATTAATTCCAGTGGATAGTGGTAATGACTTATTTGTTTATAAAGCACCAGAAGTGCCCAGTAGTAAAATCTATACAATTAGACCTTACTTAGCAAGTGATGAAGATGCAGTTTATGATGTGTGCAATAAAATATGCGGCTGTGTGGGATCATCTGCAGTTGCAGATCGGTAAGAATATATTTTCTTTATAACAAATTGCATTTTTTCTCTGTTACAATAGACAATTATAAATATTGAACTTTTAATGTCAGGTTGGTAGGCGGTTACATCACTTTGAGTCCAGAACTGTGTATGGTTGTCGAAGATGAAAATGAAATAGTAGGCTATGCATTGGCTGCCTTAAATGTAAAGTCTTATTATCAGAAGTTATCTATTTCTTGGATTCCTGAATTACGGATGAAATATCCATTGGAGGACAATATTAATGAATTACCACAAAATGTTCAGGTATTTGTCTGAAATTCGTTATCTTGTTAATTATTAAATCTGAAAATTGATAATATCTTTGAAATTTATTTATAGGATGCCATACAGTATTTCCACTCATTTGTTGCGGATGTACCTGAACAATTGTGCAGACAGCATCCGTCAAAGCTGTTATGCGCTGTGTTACCAAGTGTTACGGACCAATCTGTCCCTAAAAGAATAATTACATGTATTCTTGCCGCTTTAAGAGCGAATGGTAAATAGCTTTTTGCATAGTCTTTTAATTACTATTTATGGAGTGATCTGTCATATGATACGAATTCTTTTGCAGGTTCGTTCGGTGTACATACTACAATGTCAAATACAGACAAGGAGTCTCACGAGTTTTACAGTAAATTAGGCTTTGTCGACTTAAATCCAGCGCACGAGGAACATCCTGGAATCAAGACTATGTGTAGAAGTTTCTAACAAAGAGTGAATACACCAGTGATATTTGTGAATAAAGTGTATCTACTCGGAGCATCTGCAAAGAAGGCTTCTATGGTTTAAAAACGAAGTTTCTGATAACGTAGAAATCTATTTATTTCTAAAACAGCCCAGAAAAGCTTTCTTTATCGTGTGTTTTCCTGCAAAGGACAGGAAATCGATCATCAAGAATACTCTTAAGAATAAAGAAAAGAGAATATGGGCAGATTTTATATTATAAGATTTTTAATGACTTGTACTTCCTTTCCAAAAACTGTTCTACAAGATGTCTGTTTTAAACTACAAATAGGAAGAAGAAAAAAAGAAAAGATCACCCAAATGTGTTTAACTATATATTCGCATACGATGTATATATAACATGAAGTAGGCTGCAACATTGTCGATCGTAAAAAATTCGAAAGTGTAAAAGGTGCAATATTAATGTTTAAACAGAACAAAAGCAAAACACGATAAGGATAATTTGTTGATTTTATGAATATTTGTGTTTGTGAGTACAATACTATGGGATTTCAGTATACCCGGTATACTGGTATGTTAATATGAAGTTTTTTTTAAAAATCGGCGGATGTATATAACGTGTTGAATGCTGAATGATGAAAAAGGATAATGCCAGTATGTGTGTTCAATTACTGAATTAATCGAAGCTTTTTTAACCTATCGAAAGATATTTTCTTATAAAAACTACAGGTGTGAACGGCAAAAGAACCATGAGACAAGAGGAGAAAGTAAACTTGCTTCATTCGGTTCATTCTTACTGAAATGCTATAAAAGTAAAAAAAAGAACACAAGGTCTAATTTTAACATCAGATCCGTGTTTTTAAGAGAATCTAATCTATAGGTACAGTACTGCCTGGTAAAAATATGTTCACTTTAAAGTGTGTACATAATCGATATTTAATATCCTAAGCCTATTCTAAGGCCTTTTTATGTTTGACGTATCTTAACTGACTTTATAATTACATTACATTACATTACATAGTACTTGTGTGTGTATTACCAGGGAATGTGATATATAGAATTGTTTAGAAAATATTGATTATTTCACTAGCGTCCATACGTATTCAAAAGTTAGTTAATCACTAATTTAATTTTATTACGTCCAAGTTACGTATATATACATTGTGTTTTATACGATTGTTTATTTTTATTAATGATGATAAGTATTTGTCCTATCGAAAATAACTGAATCAGTCATAAATTACGAGATAATTGTTTTCCGGGAAGCTATTTATTCAAGAGAAAGCAGATACAGTTAGATCATTACATTGCTGATTAGGTACTAACAAGCCAGTTCGTATCACGTTGTATGCGTCAGTGTATCAAATGTACAGAGCCAAGATAGAAAGTAATTAACTAAATAAGGTAAACTAAATAAGAGAAAAAGAAAATAAATATGAAAATCTTAGATATTTGCCTTATAATTACTATTGATCATAGTACTATTACAAAACAGTTGTATCACGGACTAAGATGTGATTTTCCGACCCTTAGCGAAGTATAAGTATCATACTAGGATTTGAGATGCGGTGCCATGTATAAAACAAGAGGAAAAGTTCGATCGTTACGAAAATCGTTCACGTAACTATGAAATCTATTTTAATTCGAATTATCACTTTGTAGAATTTTTATATATACTCGCCACGTGTTTTTGTGACGATTGAACATAAAAACGATTAAAAAAGAATTGTATTCACGGGAAGGCTGGAAAGCAGAAATGTTCTGCATATTTTACCATCCTTTTTGTTCTTTTTTCTTCTTTTTTTACATAATATTGCTTTATTGATCACGTATATTTTTTCTTATCCTACTAAAGTAAGTTGATATACATGTTTACTCTGTTCAATATGAGCTTACTTTCTATTTGATACGAATAACTGTTTGTATGTATAGCTTTTTTATAGCAAATATCTTTTTAATGCGTGTTTTCTTTTGTCAATACTGTTTAAACATGGAAAGAAAGAATGATGTGCATACAATAATATTTCCAGTTGTCCCGTCTTGTACTTGTTAAGTAACGTACATGTAATTAACACTATTGAAACAATATGTGATTATTACTGATTTATTTAAATAAACATGTCAAGACTGATATTCCTGGCGTAGTTGAAATGGACATTGATCGTATCTAAAAGTGATCAATAATTTTATCGTAATCCTTGTAGTTTGTTTAATTTTTCAATGGTATCGTTGCAACGTCATTGTATTTTCGCAAATCCTGAATTTCGCTTTGAAATTTTAATATCTGAAATTCCAAAGAAAATGCATGAGAATCAGTACCATTTAAAAAACAAACGTTTTTTTCTCTGTGACGAACATACAAATTTTCAGTATAAAAAATTAGCGTATCAAATACCTTTTTTATATCATTTTTAAACAAGTTCTGTTTGGTTCTAGGACTTATTTCATCCGTAGTATTTACTTCAAGTTTACTTAAAGATTCTAACAGCTCGTTGATCTTTTTATTAATGTCTCTGTAAAAAGTTATTTCATGAATTTTTGATTACGTTTTAGAAAACATATAAATTTTAAATTATAGAGTAGAGGGTATATCACTTAATTATTTCCGTTTAAAAAGCAAATGACTAAGAATCTAGTTGTTCGTATCACGTTGTGTTCGTTAGTCCATCAAGTACACAGAACCAAAATAGAAACTACTTTTATAATTATAATAATAATATTATAATTTTTAGATTGTAGAGCAAAAAGTTTATCACTTACGCCGGTGGTATAAATTTTTGCTTGTCTTTTTTTCTTGATCCCAAATTTTTCTATAGTTTAAATTAATAGATGTACAATCAAATCTTTTGTAAATCTTTGTAAGAGAACTGTTAAAAAAAGTTAAAAAACAAATCTCACCAGTTTGGAACTTTGTTTGAATATGGAATCATAGTCTTCGACATCGAAACCAAATGGAATATCATCTGTTAAATAAATATTTTATTTAACTATAAAATAATGTAATTAAGTCTTTTTTTATAGTACCTGCGTTTCTTTTCATTGCCTTTTCCATAGCTTTGCTATAACTTCTTTTATCCCGTCTCCATTCCTTTAAAACATTTTCATCCCTAAACAGTTACGGGATTGTTGTAAAAAATGAGATGTATTTTACTGAAACAGGGAAAATGAAGATGATCTTACTTTATCTTTTGAAGTAGCGCTGTTTGTTTGGCAAACAATTCTCTTAGCTTGGAGAACCATAGCAAACGATGTTCCATTGCAATGTTTGCACCTTTATTTTCACATCTACGTTCAAGAATTAATCGCAATTAATTGTAAAGTAGAAGTTAATAAAATTTAGACTTCTTATCGTTTCAATATAACATATATTTGTGCATACATATATAGCTACAGAAATCATCAGTTTATTGAAAATTCTTACTAAACGATAACAGGGTATTAATTAATTTTAAACATATTTTGGGGTGAAATGTATATATTCAATTTTAGTACTTAATTTTTTATACATTTTATAATCCGAAAGCTTCTGTTTTTAAGTAGAAGAAATTTTTATTCTTCATTTATTTACGTACATAAATACTTTAACTACCTGTTTCTGTACTATGTAAATAATTCAACTATTTATTTATTCCTATATAATTTTCTAAACATGACAGTATCCAGTTTGGATCGTTTAATCTCATTGGATTTAATTTAAATTTATTTCCATCGTTTGTAACAATATGAAAAATACGTTCAAAATTTTCTGTAGATTCTTTATATCTCTTACTGTTTCCTAATAAGGTATTATTTTTCGATATAGCTGTTTTAATTTTATTAATACTTCTACACTCTTTTTCCATTGAATTAGAGTAAGTTTTCAAAATTTTTATATTCTTTCGGACATAAAGAGATCTCGGAGATGGGCCCATCAAATGTAAGACTTTATTATTCATTTTATCGATTTCATCATCGATTTCCTTATTGTTAAAACTGGTTATACTTTCCAAAACACATTTATATTCTAATTTTTTATCGATCTTGGAATTGGTTACTTTTTGCAAATAGAAATCATAGAAAGATTTAGATATTTTTTGTAAAGAATTATTATTATCCAGAAATATTGGTTTTTCATGATAATACCTGTTACTGGGCTTATACGATTTACGTTTTTCTCTTGTACACACGTTCCTGTTAGAAATAGTGTTCTTCAATGGTATAATTTTCTTCTTATTTTTTCGTGGAGATTGATAACATAGAATCGTCGATAACGTTGGTCCGATTTTGTCTGAAAATTCATCATTTTATCTTATGGGCCTTCTTAATTACTAAATATATATAGTCTTTATTATTGATAACTGTAGCTACATATACAAATTCATTTACGCGGAAATACACCTACTTTCCTTGGCTTCTACCCGTTCTCCAGGATGCGCATTATTCCATTCCATTCGTAAAAATTTCAAAATAGCCACGCAACCAGAAGCCACGACATCTTTCGGCGGTGTGATAAGCGGGTTCTGAGTCACTTGAAGGGTCTTCAAATTGGGCAAGGTGCCTAAAATTAGACGTTATTAGTGTTACGGCCCGTAACTCTCATAAACTAGAACCATCCCTCGGTAAAGACGACCGCATAGCTGTCCAAATCTAATTAATCGAATCGTGATAATCCTAAGGATAAAACTAAGTATTTCTACTTTACCGTCAAAGCCCTTAATTGCTGCAAAACATTTTTCAAGATGGAACATTCCTTATGGTTATTTCTTAATCCGGTGAAAAATGGGAAAAAATAGGTTTTAGCTTGTTCAATGATCATTTCCAAACGCAAGCAATCATTGGTGGGCCGAGCAGCGCTCATCACTGGTTCAGTATAAATACCATCGTTACAGAACATGACTTGAATTGTGTTTTGTGATCAACCAGCATATTCACGTGTACTCCATTCCGTCAATATCTTAACCTATATTCTATCAGTCGACATATTAACTGTTATATCAAAAACTTGTATTGTACGAGAAGAAGTTGTTGGAATAAAAGGTTAACTTGCTAATTCAGTGTTATAATCAATTAAACATTCCTATTATCTTAATAGAAATAGGGGATCGACTGATTCGATCATGAAATCGTAGTGGGAATTTACGACTCTCGTTGGCGCGACTCTTCGCTCCCCGCAAAACGGTGGAACAATAAACGGTTTTGGTTCACATATTTATGCTTGTTCGGAATTTTGAGTGGCAGTCCGTTTATGACTCAAACGGGTCCTACCCTTTCTTTGCGGGTGAAATACTTCACTCTCAACAGGATCTTACAACCGCCGTGTTTATAACATCACACTTTACTTTAATACAAGTGCAAATAAAGTACTAAATTACACTAACATTCGGTCTATTAAACCTCCTCCACCTTGAGCGTTAAGTAATTATGTGTTATTACGAGGTACGCAATATCAACTGATCGGTTTAACCTGACCGGTTGCTCTTTAGTCGATAATTCGTAACAATGCTTATTCTTTTACAAATTATTCGTTCACATTATGGATACATGTAGATGAAATACTAAAAAAGAAAAAGTGGAAAAAATTGAAAAGTTTTCAATGAATGCTTACAAAGTTCTAACGGTAGATTTTCCACTCTGTTTCCTTGAAGTAGAATCGTTTCTAAGCACCTGTGTCCTTTGATACTAGCTGGGAAAGAAGAGAGTTGATTATTTCTGACATCTAACCACTCCAAGTACATTAAACAACTGAAAACTTCGTCAGGAATTTCGATCAAACCGTTGTTCGACAAATACAACATCTAGAAACAAAACAGAAAGATGTATTCAAAATGTAAAGACATACCGAGGAAGTTTCTGTTAATATTTCAGTTCAATTACTTGAAAAAGTAAAGTACCCTTAAATGCGAAAAGTTGTTCAATATTTCCGTGGGAAATTGTTTCAAGTCCATATTGGAAAAATCTACGAATATTTCATCGTATACGGGTTCCTTTTTTAGCGCTAATGGTGGTAAACATATAGTACTCCTTGAAGATTTTCGCGATTCTCTCATTGTTGCGGAAGAAGCTTCTGAACTATTATCCGGATAAGTATCATCGATGAATGCTAAACTTAAATCTTTTTTCTTTGTATCCTTTACTTTGTTTGTTATTATCCCTATAATGAAAGATACTTGTTTAGGTACGACTAGAGAAAATATTGAAACCTCATTGCAATATTTTAGTGTTTAACGCGCAGCGACGAGGTAAGTGTAAAGAAGGAAACACATACATACACATACACATTCATACATACAAATAGTACACATATATACAGTGAACGGAGGTCGTAACTTACAACTTACAACTTTTACGGATGCCACGATTTCAGGTTAAAATTCCCCGTAGGATTAGTTAGGATGATAGGGGTAGTACTTTGCAATTAATGCGATGATTGAAATTAAATTGAAACTTATGTCGATTAACGTAAAGTTGTTGCTGCAAGAAAAGTCAGAATTTCTTAGATGGATATGTCGGAGAAGAGTGAGGAACAGGGTTGTGGACGTTTGATAGACCTCCCTTGGAGTTGGCCATCGTTGTGTGATAACGAAGATACAGCCTGATGCTACGAGTATGGACACTGCCGATTCGACAATCAACAGCGGTGGGCACTTGCTATGTTAGTGACGTTGGTCTTAGGTTCGATGACGAATCCACGGTCAACGGGGTGAAAGATATACTTGCTCTAACTCAAACTCACTGATCGTCAGGCGCTGCTCCCTTCGTCGGTGGGATCTCAAAAAAGAATTTCGTCCCAATTGGTCAGTTTGGGACAAAGACTGTCTGTTCGTTTGGAAAATCTTAATTGCCGAAAAAACCCAGGTTTTATAGCGGGTCCTCGGGCTAACTGGACTTGTGCTATGTACGTGCCTCAACATTAGATATTCATTGTCCGAAGGAGCCGTTGGAATGTTTTACTATCAAGTACCTCTATTGGTATTTCTTTTAATGAGGGTCACACTATAACTCCACACCTTTGTTAGGCGAAGCGCCCGTCCCGTTGACCGCGGCTACGCTCGGCGACTGATGGTCGCCTTGAGCCCAAGTTTATTATCATAAATCGCAAACAAGTACAATTAGGATGACGACAAATTGTTTAATTACGACTGCAAACTTCAGAGGGAAGGCTCCGGTGTCCTTTCATCTCCGACATATAAATATAAAGATAAAAACTCTGAGTCGGTGTATGAGATACGTAAAACCGCGTACAACTTTTTCTTTTTAACAGAACTTGGTTGGAACATAGAGTATTTATTTGATATAAATGTTAATACCTAGATCTTCGATATTCTGCTCAATACAATCCGAAGGGCTATCGTTTGCTGATTGCTCATGTAGCATATTTTCGAAAATATTGCACATAATATTCGGCCCAAAATCGATATCTTTCAAATCGAAAGTTTCATCATCATTGTATGCATCTTCAATGCTGTTTAGAACTCGCGAAGATCGTGCGTACAATTCGTTCGCAATACTTAGTTTCCGGTTTTCATCTTCGTCTTTCTACGAACAATCACGTATCAAACGATTATGGAAATGTAAATTACGATCAATGTTATAAAATAAGAATAAATTAAATGTTCTTCTTCTCCGTAAACTGTAAGCGATTATTATTTTGTTAGCAATAAGCAAAAGTAAAGTAGTAGTGAATAAAATTAGTTTTTTTTTTAATAGTAATTAACCAACTGCAAAAAAGGAGTTTCGTTGTTTATTCGTCTTTAAAAATCGCTAATTTCATTTTAAAAATATATTTGATAAAATTGTGAATAAAGAATTTGCTAGCATATTCTTACAATTACAAAGAATTAAATGTTTCTGAGATTAATAACATTAATGGCAAAAAAATAAAAAAAAATAAATATTTTGTATTTCTATCATTGTTTTTCTGAAATAATAATATAATCTTGACAAAACCACCTTATTAATTAATGATTAATAATATGAATAATAAATAAATAATAATAAGTATTAAAATTAATTGAACTAAAAAAATAAAAATATACTATGCCCATTGATATTAACAATGACAATAACGTCAAATTAAATAAACAATTAGAAATTATACAGATTTGACTACCTGAGACTCTACATCAGACACATTTTCTTCCTTGATGGTTAAGGAGGTTTGTTCAGTAACTTCTTTCTCCTCTTCGTTCTTTATGTTTTGGATACAACGATTAATCGACAAACACCTTTTGCTATTCGATTCTGTACCGAGTCCGTAATATTGGGTTAATAAATCTCTAGCCAAATCGGACATGACGTTGGATAAGTATTTTTACTATTTTAGCAAAAAAGAAATCGTTTTCAGAAACTGAGGGTTATAATTCAACAATGGTTAACTAGATCGATTATTATTCTTGTTTATTCATTGCCTAGGTGACGAGATACTTAGATTATATATACCACGTATTACTTTTACTAGAAATGAGAAATATATTTCTTATATTAAATTTCATTTCCTTTAGTTTGAAAAACATTATTTTCGTAATTTAATATCACGTTTTTGATTCAAAATTCTGAGCGTATTCTACTTGATATAATAAAATAAAATAAAATAGAATATAACAAAATAAAATAAAATAAAATATAACAAAATAAAATAAAATAAAATAAAATAAAATAAAATAAAATAAAATAAAATAAAATAATTTTGATATGTATAAAAATAATTGTAGCTGCAAATAATAAGTATATATGCATACGTATATACATGCCACGCATGCGCAGAGAGATCCTGTTCCTCCCCTCCAGCGCAGTAAGATTGGGAGTGTCGTGGTTATGACTAGTTACACTACGTGCTTTGTATGGGTTATATCGTATAAGTGCTTTGTTGACCAGTGCCCTAACCAACTCGTCATTTCATAGTGTACTGTTACTCGTATTTAAGTGAATTCGATATAATTTCCGTGTGGAATGTCGGATTCAGAGGCGAGCAATCTATCAGACAATGAAAGCGATCGAGGAGTTGGCGGCAGCGAAAGTGATCAAGAAGAGAACCATTCAGTGAAATCCGCAGCTGGCAGCGATGGTGGAAACGCTGGTGAAAGATCACGTAGCGTCTCTCGCAGTAGAAGTCCGTCCAGGTCACGATCGAGGAGTCCACGCAGGTGGCGATCACGGTCTCGATCAGCCAGCGGGTAAGATTAATACTTATTTTATGTATATTTTATGAGAAAACCCCATTTTGAAGCACACCGAGTTCGTGACCTATTTGTACGTCATATGATAGTTTTCAACAAGTAGAGTTCAAAAATATCAATTTAAAGCACACAGATCATTGTTTAATAAACTAAACTGTACTGTAAAATCTGTACATAATTTACAATTTACCTGAGTGCTATTTTGAGATTTCGGATAATTAACGACCATATTTATGATCATGGCTGATACAATGAGTTGTATCATTGACTCTATATATATAAATCCACGTGATAGTTATTTCACCGTGCAAACTAAGAAGCCAAACTAATTCACTTATTTACAAATTTAATCTTATGTTAGTTGATTTACTGTTTTGTGCAAATAAACAATTGAAATTGTATTGTTACGGCTATTCGACCTATTTGTTTCTATTATATGTATATAGTACAAAAACTACGTGCTCTTTAAAATGAAGTTCTGTTCATAAATAATTTATATAAACATAAACCATATTTTTTGAAGGAATAAAATATTGAAACAACTGTTATATATTTTTTAATGCTTTTGTAATTACACATCGAGTTTATATTTCTATATGGAATACTTGTATATCATTCCTAGTTGTATATGTTGGATAAAAATTCAGAAATAGATTTTGTAGTATATCATGTTGCTTATTAAAAATGGAATTGATCATGATTTAAAAAGATTTATTGAATCTTCAGTTCAGAGGATGGTAGAGGAGATGAAGCAGAGGAAGCAAGATCTGGTGATGAAGAGATGGTGGAGCCTGAGGAAGAACCTGAAGGTAAATGACAAATAATATAAATACATATATAAATTTCTTTTATCATATTAATATTTATTTTAATTCTTGTTTAGGCGAAGATTTGGAAGGAAGTAGCGAATATGACGAGGAAGAAGAAGAGGAGGACGATGATAGACCTCGTAGGAAAAGGAGAAAAGACAAATATCGTGATTTTATCATAGACGAAGCTGAAGTAGATGATGAAGTTGAAGATGATGATGAATGGGAAGAAGGTGCCCAAGAAATTGGTATTGTTGGAAATGAAGTGGACGAGTTGGGTCCTACTGCCAGAGAAATTGAAGGCAGACGTAGAGGAACTAATCTTTGGGAGTAAGTACCTTAAATCTATTCAAATTTTTAAGATTCTTAAGATAATTCTTAATTAAGATTTTTTGTCCTTAAACTAATTTTTACAAACTTTTACAAATTTTTACAGTTCTCAAAAGGAAGATGAAATAGAAGAATATCTTAGAAAAAAGTATGCAGATGAATCTATTGCTACTCGGCATTTTGGTGATGGCGGTGAAGAAATGAGTGATGAAATCACACAACAAACTTTACTGCCAGGTGTGAAAGATCCAAATCTATGGATGGTAAAGTGCCGTATTGGAGAGGAAAAAGCAACAGTACTATTGTTAATGCGAAAATTTATAACATACCAATATTCAAATGAACCTCTTCAAATAAAATCTATTGTTGCACCTGAAGGAGTAAAGGGTTATATTTACATAGAAGCGTACAAACAACCACACGTGAAGGCAGCCATCGAAAACGTAGGAAATCTAAGAATGGGTATTTGGAAACAACAGATGGTACCGATCAAAGAGATGACCGATGTGTTACGTGTAGTTAAAGAACAGACAGGCTTAAAAGCGAAACAATGGGTTAGACTAAAAAGAGGCATTTATAAAGATGACATAGCTCAAGTTGACTATGTTGACTTGGCACAGAATCAGGTTCATTTGAAATTGTTGCCCAGAATTGATTATACTAGACCACGTGGAGCTTTGAGAACAGCACAAAGCGAATCTGAAGCCTTAAAACGCAAGAGAAAAAGAAGACCAGCAGCCAAACCGTTTGACCCCGAAGCAATTCGTGCTATCGGAGGAGAAGTCACTAGCGATGGTGACTTCTTGATTTTCGAAGGAAATAGATATAGTAGAAAAGGATTTTTGTATAAAAATTTTACCACAAGTGCGATTATCGCAGAAGGTGTGAAACCAACATTATCTGAACTAGAAAGGTTCGAGGAGGCTCCCGAGGGTGTCGAATTAGATTTAAGTGGAACTCCAGCAACTGGTGCGGGTAATAAAGAAGATGCGACGGTGACCCATTCTTTCAGTACAGGGGACAATGTCGAAGTATGCGAGGGAGAATTGATTAACTTGCAAGGAAAAATTGTCTCTATAGATGGAAACATGATTATGGTTATGCCAAAACATGAGGAGCTTAGAGAAGCCTTAGAATTTCAAGCGTCTGAATTACGAAAATATTTCACTATGGGTGACCACGTTAAGGTTGTTGCAGGAAGATATGAGGGTGATACCGGTTTAATAGTCCGAGTCGAACAAAATAGAGTAGTTTTGTTTTCTGATCTTTCAATGCATGAATTAGAAGTGCTTCCAAGAGATCTACAACTTTGTTCGGATATGGCAACTGGAGTAGACAGTTTAGGTCAATTTCAATGGGGTGATTTAGTACAGCTGGACGCACAAACCGTGGGTGTAATTGTTCGATTGGAACGTGAAAATTTTCACGTACTCTCAATGCATGGCAAGGTTATAGAAGCTAGACCTCAGGGACTCACAAAGAGACGCGAGAATAGAAATGCGGTGGCGTTAGACTCACAACAGAACACTATACAAAGGAAAGACATTGTCAAAGTGGTAGATGGTCCACACGCTGGAAGGGGCGGCGAAATAAAACATTTGTACAGAAGCTTTGCATTTTTGCATTCGCGAATGTTCGTTGACAACGGTGGAATCTTCGTTTGCAAAACGAGACATTTGCAACTTTCTGGTGGAAATAAGTCCAATATATCGTCTATGTCACCTGTGGCAGGATTCATGTCGCCAAGAATAGCTTCTCCAATGCATCCTAGTGGAGGTGGCTTCGGAAGAGGTGGCGGAGGTGGAAGAGGCAGAGGTCGTGGTGGTGGAGCCAGACGTGACAGAGAATTGATAGGAACCACTATCAAAATAACTGGTGGGCCGTATAAGGGAAATGTTGGAATAGTAAAAGACGCTACAGAAACAACTGCTCGTGTAGAATTACACTCCACCTGTCAGACCATCTCCGTGGACAGATCTCACATTGCGAACGTTGCTGTACTCACAAAGGATGGTGGTTTCAGCAGCTACAACAGGACACCAGCGTATGGTGGTGGACAGACACCCATGTATGCTAGAGATGGATCGAAAACACCCATGCATGGCTCTCAAACACCAATGTACGAAAGTAAGTATTTGAAACAGATGTACAAGCATACAAGCAAGTATATGATTAAATTCAATGAACTAATCTTAATATTCTAAATTCGCAGATGGTTCTCGTACACCTCATTATGGCTCGATGACACCATCCCACGATGGTTCACGCACACCGGGACAATCTGGTGCTTGGGATCCAGCTGTTACAAATACTCCTGCCAGAACGAACGACTTCGATGGATATAGTATGGAAGAAGGCGGATCTCCAGGTTATGCGCCAGGTTATCCTTCAACTGGACCTTTCACGCCACAAACGCCTGGCACGATGTACGGTTCAGAGCAGAGCTTCAGTTCATATCAACCGAGTCCTAGCCCGGCAGGAAGTGCCAGTGCAAGTCCAAGTCCTACAGGATACGTTGCAACTCCCTCGCCAAGTGGTACTGGATATACTACTAGTCCGCATGGAGCCTTTGCCACACCTTCACCCATGGGTTACAGTCCTATGACTCCAGGTAAGTGCCTTTCTTTATTTTGGCGCTTTAGAAATGAAGATTAGAATGTTCGTTAAAACTATTCTTGCTCGTTCGTTAAAACTACTCTTTCTTTTCCAGGAGTTGCAGGTAGCCCATACAATCCACAGACACCAGGCGCTGGTCTAGATACAAATGTCGGTTCTGGAATCATTGGAGGAGCCGAATGGCACACAACAGATATTGAGGTTCGAATTCGTGACTCTCATCAAGATCCTGCGTTAGCTGGACAGCAAGGTGTTATTCGGGGAATATCCGTAAGTATTCTACCTCTTGATTAATAAAACTAGTTTTATGTAGTTTATAATTAGACTGCGGATGTTTATGCAAATACATGTCTATGTAAATGCAATCAAGGAGACAAAATCTAATCAGAGATTTATTTCATCCACTAAATCTTTGTTATAAGGAGTATTATACTGTGGATATTTTGCATATAATGTTTCGTATACTGTATGTATTATATGTATTTTTGTGTTTTCAAATTTTCCATAAATGTATAAACATCTAGCTATAATGTACACTAATTTCGCTATACTTTTTTCTATATTTCTTTCGACTTTCATTTATTTTTTTTTAATATATATACTATTTTTATTTTATTATCTTTTTATTTCAAATCTGTTTACTACTTACGTATATGTATGAACAGGGTGGCATGTGTTCAATCTTCCTACCTGTAGAAGACAGAGTAGTGAATTTGATTTGCGAGGAGTTAGAACCGGTAGTTCCATCGCGAGGTGACCGAGTCAAAGTGATTATCGGAGAAGACAGAGAAGCAGTAGGCACTCTGCTATCCATAGATAACCAAGAAGGTGTAGTGAAATTGAACAAGGACGAAGTGAAAATGTTGCACTTGCGGTTTTTGTGCAAGATGAAGGCATCGAATACATAATTTTTCATTCCAAGATAATTTTCTAAATAGATGGGAAGGAGAAATCCATAAAGACAATTTTTATAAGGGGAGCAACTTCGAAAGATTTATAATGAAAATCTTGCAAGTAACATTGATGACTTTACATTGTATTTCTTGTTATGTTCAAAAGTAGCATCTAAATTATGTAATTATTAAGTGTATATATAAATAAATAAATAAATAAATATATATATATTATATCTATTTTATATATATATTATATATATTTTATATATATATTATATATAATATATATATATATATAAAATATATATATATATATTGTAAAGAGTTTTTAATCTTTCCCTAATATTTTAACTTTTTCCAAGATGTTATAAAAACCGGAAAGAGTTATATGGATATGTATACTTACAATTAGTTGTGTATAAAACAGTTCATCAATTTTTATACAATGTAAAGATGAATTGTAATATAAACACGCCTAAGTACGAAAAGAAAACGGAGTTCTCAATCTTCATTTGATCAAAGACAAAATCGAAGCTATTATACCTATCAAACGTTTGTACTCTTAAAATTATTCACAATTTACAACTCATTAATCTGAAGACAGTCACATAACAAACGAGAGGAAGCCGTGACGAAATGATTAGGGAATACTTAAGGGATCGGTATAAATTTTCCAAGGGAAAATCGTACTAATCGGGATTTACCGATTGGATTATGAAATCATGCTTTCTATGGTTCTTTCCGGTATTTATTGCAACTATTCTCGTTAATATAGGAAGGTATATAAACATAAACACCAACATCATACTTGTTTTATTTAAAGTTCAATTGTACAATTAGAAGAATGTTATTATTAATTAATTATATGAAACTGAGACTATAACATTTCATTTAAAAATATATGCTTCATCACGTTATCGTTGCGAATGTAGGGTGATGGGTGTTAATACTTTCAAACATGAACAAAACATTGGCACGGTGTTATTTGAGAAAAGTGATACAGCTAAACATTGTTGGACCACGGAGGAATTTATTATCTTAAATAGTCGACGAATGTTTCAAGATCTCTTACCAAAGGTACGGCTCTCCTTAACCTAGTTCTGCTAGTTACGAATCACTAAAATTGTATTCTTCTATCCTATATAGTTTATTTTAACATAAAATATTCTAAGTATCATTATTGCTTCTTTTGCATATTTTTTATCTTCTTTATAATATTTTGTGTGTTTGTGATCTTTTCATTTTTGGCGTATCAATAAATTTTTAATAAAGAAAATAATGATACTTCAATCAAATACGTATATTTTATAACATATGTATAATTCATATTATTATTCAATAAATCTCTAAAATGTATTTTTTCATATTCAACTAATAATAAATTACCTACTTTTTTTAAACAAAATTTATTCACTATCACCTGTACATATATGTTAAACATAATAAAAATGCTCAAATTAATAATGAATTACTAACGGACAATTCTGTATTTAAACAAGAAGATATGAAGCGGTGTTATCTTAAATAATGATACAAATTTATTCGTGACCAACGGATAATTTTTCTCTGAACAGAATCATTATTCAAAAATAAATCTCGGAACTTCGTTATTCTTGAAAGGTTGCCCAACTTTGTTGGGTATAATATCGGGTTATACTCATGGTACAGATTATAGTTCCAACCTAAGTAAGACAAATCGCATCGAAATTTAAGTTTAAAAATATCGTAATAATGTTTAATTTTAGCAATAGCTTAAGCTTCAATGTTTCAATGAAGGCTACCAAATATAAATTATGTTTCAATAATTCGCTCTTAATATGGTCTTATAGCGATAAATAGTCGAGGACTGTTAAAATATCCACAAAAATATCGCAAAATGATAAAGTGTTAACACCGCAAATAGCTTCAATGTATCATCTTTCCATCAAACGTATCATCCTATCCACTTTAAAAAAAAAGCTTGAAATCGTTCCATCATCGATTCCTCTTCAAAAAAATATCCATGTGTCTATACCGTGCCCATCTATGGTTACTCTGATTCTCCAGGTGAAAGTTCTAAATTATGAGAACGATCGGTACATCGCGCTGCTGATGGATTACTTTCACATTTGTCTGGAAAACGTGCGTAAGCTGTCGATAGGAAAAACGAAGCACCTGATGCTGAAAGCCCTGGCGGACACGATGGGCGGTTACTTGCAGGTTTACATTTTGCCCCTCACCAAACACTCCTATTACGCGGGCAACGTAAAGTACCGAAATGCTAGAAAACTATTCGAACTGTACGAACAGCTGAAGATTTTTTTACGAAGCAACGGAGCTGGTTGGCTAAATCCTTCGAAGAAGATAAAACAGACGAAGATTCAAGCGATAGTGATTACGTCGCCGAAATCGTCGTCGGTTGCGTGCGATGGGCTTATTACTTACTCTGCATGTAAGAATACGTTTATTAACTTTCGTAAAGTATTCATGGGCATTTTAAGCAATTCGATAGCGAATCGAAAGTTTGGAAAAAATAGCCTTTTTTGTAGATTGGAATGGAGTAGATTGCTAGGATACTGTAATGGGTTTATTTGGTACTAATTTGGAGGGAAGTTTCATAGATACAAGTGTTGAAATGGTTATGAGAGATAGCAGTGCTATGTACCAACACAGAAAAATAACAATTTTACATTAATCGTGTGTGTATAAGTTTAAAAAGTTTGGAGGAACATAATTATAGGCATTATTCCGTTATTGTTTATTTTGTATATTGATTGAAATTGAATTTTGGATTTATGAATCGGAATGTGAATATAACGTAATTAACAAAATTTATGGGCTTGTGTCGAAATATGTAGATAATGATATGTATGATAACAGTAACTGTAATGATATGTACCGTAGATAGTGTAATGATAATGATAATAGTAACATTATTCTTAGCTATTATGTAGCTAAAGTTCAAACAATTTTTAAGCTAGTTTCTATGCAATGATCAGTTTGATATAACTGTTATTTATTTATTAGCTTCGATCGCTAACAAGCGAGAGACGAAACGTTTCACGTTCAAGCAGAAAAAGAGGCATGTTCCGAAGCACAAAATTAAAAGTACAAATCCGAGTGAGTTCATCAGAATTAATACAAAAACTAAATACTTGCTAAGTATAATGTATCCCTAATTTTAATAAACAATCCAATACTAAAAAGATGATATTTGTTTAAACATAATATTATCATTATTTGAAGGGCACAAAGATGAATCTGATCGAGACAACGAATCGATTATCATCCCTCTTCCTTTCCTGGACGACGATACACAGCCAAATAGGTATTGACAACTTGAACCATTTCCTTCCATTGCCAATATTAACGATATTAAAATAGAATTTTTCTTCAGTATCGCGTTACCTTTTAAGAAGAACACCTTGCAGTCTTTATACAGTGAACGATCGACTTTTGCATTGGTCAAATACTACATAGCTAGCGTGAAGTGCATCGTCTCGAAATCGAGAGAAAAAACTGAGCTGGAGGCCTTTAATCGGGAGTTTTACGATTGGCTGCAGCAATCCGTACGTTGTGAGTCGCTGTGATCGAAAGTGGCAATCTTCCTTACATATCATAAATACTTAAGGGAATTGTTCAATTACAATCAAGAAACCTTTTCCTCGTAAAACATTTTATAACTATTATTAAACAATGGTATAAATGGTTAAACGATATTTTTTAACATATTTCATGCAATATCATATTGTTTAAGGTTTCTCAGATTGCATGTTATTTTGTGCAATTCAGTTTGAGTAATGCTGTTCTAAAATCGATTGTTTTGAACAATGTTTATCCGAAATTCTCTAATTTAATACAGCACTCAGCTGCATTGCATACAGAATGTCTACATATAATTAGGTTTCGTTTCTTTAATTATGCCTATTAAAATGTAAATTTTCATAAATATTTACAGCCTATCAATCAGTGTTTTAATAATTAAGGTTCTACCATAGCTTTATTTGATTCTACATTGCTCAAACTTGAGCAACAAGCATTAGACGACTCTCATCGCCTTTCCAGGTGCAACGACACCTTGATGATGAGAAATGGTACCCGGCGTTCGGCGGTGTATTGAGGGTGATCGCCTCGTTGGAGGAAGCAGGTACGTCGCTCGATTCTTTTCCTTATTAGCAATTTTCCAGCGCTAGATGTTCCCTATAACCCATCGTTTTTCCATGTCAGGCGCGGGAACCGGTCCTACTAAGGGAGCAAAAAGTGGAACGTATGAGATTATGCCCAAAACAGGCATGCAACAAACTATTGAGCCCGAGGAAGTCGTGCCACCTCTGTACAAAGGTGACGAGAGAAAGCAGCACTTCAATCACCGTCGAATTTTTTATTGGTTTCTGCTTTCTAACGTTGTCTCGTTCCTTCTTTCGTTCTAGAAGAGGAAACGGGAGTCCCACTAGGAACGGCCGAATTAATATCGATTGCAGTGGTGAGCGCGTTACTAGTGTGGTTGCTGGTGGGCTTGAGTTTGGTCTGCTACAGATTCCTTACGAAACACTCGGACGAGTGCGTCTCATATGAACCACAGGATCCTCCGTATGTTTTAGTAAATATTTTTTACGGGGAAAATTTTTTTCGGCAAAAAATATACTGAATCATATTTTGCATACTTTACAAGGGAGGAATTTTATTAAAATACAATGTTATAATATACGAAGAGACATGATAAATGATATTCCTCGCTGTTTACAGAAGAACAATTTTAAAATTCAATATGTTCTTAAACAATTTCACATCAAAATATTTTATAGTGATTTGAGATTAAAAGAAAATCAAAGCGATAAGAAACAAATACAATGATTTTTTGATGAATTTTTCCATAGATTTTAACATTCTATTAAAATTTGATTTTTCCAACTTAGTGATATTACACATACAACGGCTTTTTAAAAGAAAATTTTCTATTTTTCTAATTTAGAGTTGCTGTTTTGTACGAAAATAAAGAATACTGCCAACCTGATACGTGTCCAACACAATCACCTCGTAAGAGTTTGCTGGAAAGAATTAAGGATTATTGGAAGGACAGGTTTGGTAAATGTCATGGAGGTTGTCAAGATCGTATGGACGAGGAACGTTGTTTAGCCGCAATTAGTTATACTAGCAAAGACACGATCGACGTTAGTCATAGTAGCAGAAGTTATCAGTAAGTATTTATTTAATATTTATTGATTATCACTTTAGAAAATCAATTTCCTACGATTAATTTATTATTCTTAAAGATTTATGTGTTATAATAAGTAAATTTAAAGTAATGATTGGATAATTATTTCGTAGATCATTTGATCTTTTTCTGCTTGTTATAAATATTGATGGCAAATCTAAAACAGGTTCTAAAAAGTTATTTAAGCCTTAAGCAATTATATCTTTTATTATTTTTCCAGGAAAAGGAAAATAAATAAATCGGTTTCAGCGATGTTATCGTGTCATCGAAAGGAGCATGTTCCCATCAGAGTACGTAATTTCAATTATTAAAATTGTTATTAATTGCGTGGATGAGATATAACTGTAAATTCAATTGAATTTTTGTAGAAAGTTTGTTATAGTTCAGATGGCTCGTTAACCACGAATACGGAGAGTCCGGAGAGCAAACCCAGATAATAAAAGGTTATAAGTTTTCATTTATCTTTTAATACATCCCTTTTTAGTATGTACGACGTAATAAATACAATCAATTACAAATAAAATCACCTTTCTAATTATTGCTATCTAAGTATAATAATTTTTAAGTACGTTATATAATAACTAGGTATTTTTATCCCTTTGATAATAAAATTGTAATGTTATGATAGTGTGACCGATTTAGAAAATAATTATTTTTTTATCGTTACAAGACTTTATATTTCTAATATAAAATAATATAAGTAGAAAATACGTAATGTAATGTAAGAATACGTCCATTTAAACAAAAAATTAAGATATTTTAAATGATTTTCTCCATAAAATTTCAAAAAATCTCTAACTTTTGTTCCCTACATACGATTTATCATGTTTTTTTTCGTGACCTTTATACATTTATTGCCCCAATAAATGATTAAACACACGTTAAAAGAATTTTTTCATCTCGAATCCCCGTCAAGAATGACAAGGTGGCCAGTCCGTTATCGTAGGGGACGCGAGAGGGCAGTTTTAATTTTATTACAATCGCGTTCTGCAGAGGCGGCTAGCAGTCGATTGCACTTTGTTATGCCGGCCGCGTACGTGCGGATTGCATTCAATGAATGCACGTTCCCGAAGCGTGCAGCCGAAGAGCCACGCGCTGCAACTTGTTGCAACAGGGCCGCGGAGTCGAATGCCGGCATCTCCTGGTTTATCAAACGCGTCGCAACAGCAGCGCCATCTGGCCTCGGAAGCGTGTCGAGTGTCGGCCACGGCGATCAGGACAGTCAGTGTCGCGCGATACGTTTAAGGGTAAAGGTATTTTGCGTTGTCCTCTCGATATACTTTCGATCGTGTACTGTCGTAAGTGCTTCGAATCTGTAAACATTCCATACTAAATGTGATACAATTGAACTTCGTTACATGCTTTCTTATACACGCTTGATAATACTCGTTGTCGAACGAATCAAACAAAAACTAAATTATGTTCGCATATTTCACTGGTTCGCGAAGACACGTGTGTTACGGTTACTTTTGATTTAACTGTCTCTTTATTTTTACTCGGCTATTTGACTAAAAATCGTGCTCTAACGTTCATAGTGGTGGAAAACATTAGTGTAAAAAATAAAGGTTAATTAACAAACATTGATGAGATTTCGGCGCGAATTTGCGTTCCTTTATCTAAATTTTCATAGAAACGCGAATTGGAACGTTTCGCTTGTTCAAACGATCTATTGGTTAATTTCAAATAGATCGAATTCGTTGAAAGGTGAAGCTCGTGCGATTTGTTGAATCGACTGTTTGAAATTCTTGAACCGAGTTTTCTAGTCGTGTTAGACGATCGTATCATTCGATAAATCGAGTAAATAAATCTTTGTCGATTGTGGAATACGATGCTTCAGAATTTCGTACGTGTGAACAAAACAATTCGAGGTTGACTTTGTTATCGGTTTCGCGGGACACATTATTTTTATAGTTCTCCTGAATTAGAATTCGCGAGAAAAGAGTGTGAGAATACTTTGTAGTTGATACAATTCATGAATTGATTCGTGTAACTATACGATTGGGACTGGTTTCGACTTGTGAACAATGTGCACTGCGGATAGATTCTCGACTGGCGTTTCGCGCGTCCGTAATTGACTGTGGTGTCGTGGTGTGCTCTCCTCTTTAAGGACATGATGGAACGACGAAGCTGCAGTAAACTGTGCCTACTGTTCGTCGTGTTACTCCTCGCCTCCGATTTGAAAGGTGAATGACGTTCTTCTTCAGTTTCTTATTGGAAAAGCTTACTTCGTTGAAAGATTCATGTATTCAACGTGACATTCGAGGTTTTGAGAATTAGATGATTTGAAGGTTATAGAGAAGAAACATGATAAATTACACTTCTTGCTTTTTTAGAAAAGCAGTTTTTTTTGTTAAAATTCAGCACGTCAGTCCCATATTACCGAACTGTTTTTTACTTTGTTTAGCAATTATCTTAGATAGAAGAAATGTGTTATTACCTATGTGAATATTTAAAAACTAAAATATCAGTTATCACTAGATTGCGAACCTTTATGCATTTATAATAAATTTAAAAGTATAGAGAACGCAGATGATGCATGAAAATGTATAAAATATTCAAAATAAAACGACCAGTGTGATATTTAGCAAATGAAACGAATATATATAGATTCTATTTTTTTAGTTGCATTTATAGAAATATGAAATTGCACAGTCTAATAAATATGCACAGTCTAATTAGCACAATATTAGTTATGCTGTTTATTTTATCTAAAGCTTTAACCAACTTTTAAAAGGTACTACATGAAAAGTCATTTTGCTTTTCAACTCAGTTTTACTGAAATATCCACTTTTAATCAACAGGCGATATAAAAATTAGAAAATCAATGAATATATACTTATTATGAGTGTCTCATCAATCTTCGTTTGTAGTGATATGTAGCGAACACGTTTGGGATGAATAGGTTGAATAATTCTTATTAATTTTATTTATTGGCAGTGAATTTCATTTTTTATTTGTGATATTGGAAATGAAAAATATAAACAAAAATAATTTTATTTTAATCGAATTCGTTTCATTAACCCATTAACGATCAAGGTTATGTTAATGCAACGTTTCATTTGCAAATTTTTTCTATCAGTTTCTCTGTATTTGTATTACTCGATATTAAAATATTCTTTTTTAATTATAAACTAACTTTACATACATAATACATAACATGTACTTATCATGCTTGTTCTGTAATCTTCTATTAATATAATTATTTAACATAAAACAAAATATCAGAATCAAAATTATTGTAAAGTTAATGTCAAATAAAGATTAATCGTTGAACAATTTCTAGAATATCCAAGGTTTATTATTGTTACGAAGTATACATAAAAGATACGTTTCATTTTTTCCGGGGATCGAATTTCATTGAGAGAGTATGAAGGACATCTGAATAGGAATGATATATTTTCTTAATGTAAATAGAAAAAGTTCCGAAGGCCACGATGATTGTACCTTTCACACAAAGTGATCGTGAAACGTGATGTTTACATTGGTACGACCATATACAAAAAGTGACGAGGAACGCAATAAGGAAGGGAATTCAAAACATATTTATCCAGGCTGTATTTGTATCGAGGGCACCACAATATAGCCTGAACTCTATTGTCTTTTTGGATCTGCCTGAATACCAACGTCATTGTTTTCTCCGCTAATGAATAAGATCAGGAATTTGTTTCTTTTTTGTAGTTATTGTATATCGCGTTCAATTTCTGCTTTATTAGCTTGTGGAAATAATCGCTCCATTTTCGCTCCGTCAACAATTTTTATTATTCGTCTGTTGAATTAATAATTATTAAAAAGTTAGATTAACAAGGTATTACGCAATTGAAATTATTATTATATTAATATTTTTTATTTTTCACCCCGCATGACCGAGAAATGGACTTGGTTCACGCAATCCTTGTTTTACAATTCTATCTTAAACTTTCTCTCCTCTCATTCTCATTCTCATTTTTCCTTATTTTCTATTTCTTAACTGTGTATACATACTTCTAATAATATTATTTATCGTTAGCGCCACAGATAGGGGAGGGGTAGCCTTAGAAGCACCAAGAAACACGTGAAAGATTTTAGATTAGAAACAGAAAATTTTATATTAATTTATTAATTGCGAAATATTTAAGTGCTTACAATCAATTTCTGGAATAAAAGTATTGGATTTCCAATCATCTTGCTATACTTATTTTGCTTATAGAATAACGCGAGGAATCAATTTATATAAAACAAGCTAATTTTTTTAAGCTATTTTTTTAAATCTGTTGCAATTCTTCTTTAATTTCTGCTAGAGAAGGGTAAGGATGAGATTATGATAACTCAATTAGTTCCATAATACGTATAATCATGCGTGTAAAATTGGGATCACCGTGATTATTTCGACAACTTATTATAAGTTTATTTATAAAATTTGAATTGTTCAAAGGATATTAAATAATATTGCAATATTCATTTACCTAGTTCGCTATTGATTAAACTTATTTTCTACGACAACTTTGTAATCAGATTGTATTTAATACACGTTTAATATATTCTGGGAAATGTAACAATTATGAGGATTTAAGTAAATTATTAGGTCATCTGACATAAGGACTTGTAGCCTTTCTGATTGTGAGAACTGAATTTACAATGAACAATTCAATTACCATTCATAACAGTAACACTCTTCGCGCTAGAAGTTCCATGAATAGAGGATAAGAAAAGGTAGGTTATTGTAGGAAATAAAGAAAATTATTAATAGATATATTAATGATTATTGGATGAATTATTTTTCATTATTAATTCAAATAAATATAAGGCATTTTTGTTTGCTCAAAGCTATTGGCCACACTTTAGCCACGAAAGAAGTAACACTAGGTCAGTAATTTGTTAATAAGTAACTATTAACACAAATTACATAAATAATTCAATTTCTTCGTTGCTTTGGTATATCTCAATTTATTCCAACAACGAGACGCGCAACATCGACATACACAGAAATTTCCATCGTAAATGTTCCATTCAAACGTTTTTGCACTTGCGAAGAACAGAAAACCTGGTATTTTATCTCACAAACCGACAATATACCGTGGCAACATTTTTTGACTAAATCGAATCTACAAACCATGCATATCTAACGAATCCAAAGAGGTTCAGAGGAAAAAAGGCGAAGGAAAAAAGAGCAGAATATTTACGTCTCCTCGAAAATAAACACCAATACGTGGCACGAAACGCGAGTTCTCGCATTTCCCGGCTGCATGAACGTTTTTCACCCGTAGAAAAAAGTAAAAAGGAGAAAGGAGGAGGTGGAAGAAGAGGAAGGGGAAAGGCAAAGCTTGCGTCGAAATTCGAATGGAAAAACGTCGACGGGGGGTTCATTTCGCTCTGGCCATCGTTTCGAATCCCATTCCGAACTCGGATCTCATTCTGGACACGCGTGATCCGGATTAGAAACGTCCGATTCCTCTGTTTTAGATTACCCGGGCCGTTTTGTCGCATGCAAAAGTTGGAAATCGAAGATGAGCCAGCGAGATATCATGTAAATTTTCCCCCGTTTTCATATTTCGATAACCTCTTTTCCTTTCGTTTCTGGCGAATAATTTTAGAAGAAATTGGACGGCCATGGTGGTAGAAAAACTCTAGTTTCCTTTTTATTCTGTCTCTCCTTATTTTTCTCATATTTGCAAGGCAGAATATTTAGACAAATAGTTAAAGGGAAGCGCTTTGACGGAGTTTGAGAGAACAGGTGGTAGAAAAACTTTGGAAATTTTATTTTTCTTCCTTCCTATTCTTTTTCGTGTGTTTTTATAGTTGTACGGGTGAATATTTCAGCGAATAGTTAACAAGGAAAAATATTGTAATAGACGGAGTTTATGAAAGAAAAGACGGTAGAAAAATTTGGAAAATTTTAGTTATTCTTGCTTTTATCCTACTCGTGTTTTTCTGATATTTCAAACGGTAAATATCCAGACAAATAGTTAAAATTCAACAATATTGTATATAAATACAATTTCAGACAAAATCATTTCCCTATTCATAAACTTGCCATTGTACATTCCCACTTTGTACAGTCAGCTCTCCTTCAACTATAGTCCACGCAAATCCAACCTTCTTTATGCTAATCTGAAGTACCTGTACATCAATATGAAGTTGATTTCTCACACACGATATGTATCATGCACAGGTAAGAGGAGAAGCGGGAAGATTTGCATACATCGATGGTTGTTCCTTTATAGTGGCACGTGTAACGGAAAATATCAAGAGTGGCCACTTTAGACTTACATTGCGCTTTATAAACATTCAACAAGTGGCAACGGGTCCATCGACTTGTGGAACTTCTCAGTTCGCCGAGTGTTCCTTTTAAAATCGATCGAACTGCATAAGTATTTCTCCGCGGGACGAACTTTCGCTGTTTAGCTTGCCACCATTAAATGGGATTCTTTCCAAGTACTACTGGCTCGCACCACCGTGAAATCGATGGCGAATTCAGCATCGTGCCAACGGAATACACCCCTGAATTTTGTTGAATGTTTTACCACCACCAACTTCTCATGTTAATCCACGATGTTGGACTTTTAAGACGGTTGGGAGGACTCGTTGAACGAGATTTAATTCGATACAAGCATTACGATGTATTTAGTTGCTTGTTTCCGTTTTATTTGAGGTGAAAGTTTAGGATGACACACAGTGGCTAAATTAGTGCAGCCACGTGAACAAAGTAAAGATATCGGCACTCTAGAGATCATTTAAAATCTATTTCCATACGTGTTGTAAGTCTAATGTATCGGATTGGCAACTAAGTGATTGCGTATTTTAAATAAGAAGGAAAATCCAATATTTTTGCTTAGAAATATAACTTTATTTAGTTAGGTGTTGCCCGTTTTTGTCCATCACCTTTTGCCATCTTTCAGCCAGTGCCATAATTCCATGTTCGTAGAACTTCTGATTTTTATCAGCAAAAAGCTGAATTAAATGTGAGTTTACATCATCAATGTCATTAAAAATTTTACCGTTTAAGGAGTTCTGCATGGAACGAAATAAATGGTAATCCGAAGGCGCAAGGTCAGGGCTATATGGTGAATGTGACAACACATTCCAATCTAGTTCCAATAATTTTTGGCGAGTGATCAAAGATGTGTGGAGCTTTGCATTATCATGCTGGGAAACAACACCCTTACGATTTACTAATTCAGGCTGTTTTTCTTGAACTGCATCGCTCAGTTTGAATCGTACGTATGACACGTTTGTATCGATCGTTTGGTTTCTTGGTAAAAGTTCAAAGTACAGAATTCCTTTATAATCCCACTAAACTGACAGCATAATCTTTTTTCGGTGAATCTCAGCTTTTGATGTCGTCTGGGCTGGTTCATCTTGCATTACCCACGATCTTTTTTGATTAACATTGTTATAAACTATCCACTGTACGTCGTCAGAAATCAGTCGTTTCAGAAATGGGTCAATTTAGTTGCGTTTCATCAAATGCGTTGCATCAACTGAATTTCCTTAAGCTGATAAGGGAGCCATAAATCGAGTTTCTTCACATAGCCAAGCTGTTTTCATTTTTTTTAATGCATGTATGCGATACATTGTGCTATGACGATTTGAATCAATAATGGCCTTGACATGGGTCTCATCAACTTCAACTGGACGACCAGATCGCTGAGTATTTTTCAGTGAAAAATCACCAGAACGAAATTTGGCAAACCAATTTTGACACTGCCTTTCTTTCAACACTTCACTCCCATATACGGCACATAACTTGTGTGCTTGCGATGCGTTCTTGCCTTTTCGGAAATAACACAATAAAATGTCTGAAATACGCGTCTTGTTCTTCCATTTTTAAATTGAGATAAAAACAAAATTAAATAACTAATCGATAGAATTTTTTTACTAAATTAAAGGTGGAAGTTCAAACAACAAGGAAACAATATAGATTAGGTGCTTTGAACGTTGACAAAACAAAAGAATGTGCTAAGGTCACTTATTGACAAAATCCGCAATCACCTAGTTGCCAACCCAATAATTTCGTTAAGTACAGTTTGATTATTGTTTTATGTTTACATATATTTCCATGTATTCGTATATGTACCTTTTTGTATTCTCGCTAAGTTTTCTAATTATATTTGGATGCTGATATTAGCATAACGATGAGGGATCACGAGAAGGAGATTGAAAGTAATAATGGCGTTAGGTTGCGAGTATATCATAAATATAAGGCAGTTAGAGAGAAATTAATCTTAAGGTTAGCCCGATATACAAAGTGCGACATGACTGTGGTGTGGAGGGACGAATGAGTGGATTTTTCTTAAACCAAGTCCATTTTATGGCCCGCTGGGGGCTAAAATTGCAACATATTATCACGTTGACTGCCGCGCGTGTTTTCAATAAAGTCTGCTTCAGGTCACGAGTGCCGCTGTACCAAACGTACTCTACTAGGTACTCTTACCAATATTTTAGATAATTTAAAATCTCTGCCCTCATTCGTTAGAATGTCGAAAAGAAAAATGGAACACTTATTTCTTAGTGAATCAGATAGCAGTGAAAAAGAAAGCTTTTACGAGGCTTACAGAAATTCGGATAGCAGCGATGAGGAAGAAATCAGATTTCCTAGAAATAGAAATATAAATAGAATTACATCGTCTGATTCTGATTCGGATATTGATAAGTGCAATCGTAGTGATACTGAATGTAATGAAGATACTGTTGACGAGATTTTACAAGAATTGGTCATTAAGGAAGGAAGAATAACTGATGATACCGTGGATAGTACAATTCAATTTGGTGAATGGAATGAATTTAGTGGTCGGCAGAAGTCAGTTCCTTGTCCCGAGACAGACGGCATCATTAGGCGATTACCTGGCGATGTCAATCCATATGATGTGTTTCAGCTGTTCGTTGATAACGAAATAATAAACTTACTTGTATCAGAAAATTGCAACAAGGAAGGATGTAAATATTAGAAGATTTAGAGAATTATTAGTTACAAAAGTATTAAGCTTGTCTGAAAATAGAAAAAATCCTTGTCTTCGACGGAATCAGCATAATGTCTCCGCTCGGAAAAATGATTCCGGAAGAAGCATTAGACGCGCATGTAAACTACGTTATGCAGATAAAAGACGTCGAACGGACCGATCAAAGACACGGGAGAATTTAAAGAAAACAACAACTTATTGTCCAAATTATCCCGACCAAACTCAGCTTTGTATAGAATGCTTTAAAGTTTTACATTCTAAGTAATTTTTTAAATAAACCATTTTCGTATTACTTTTATAACAATTCAATAGTTTTATTATTTTCTACGGAATATCTTTTCAAATACCTACAACGATCTTTCGCAAGTAGTCAAATAAGCGTCACCCGAATACGGGTGACGCGGTCCTGCTGGAAACCTTGCTGTCACCCGAATATGGGTGACGTCGCAGTCAACGTGTTGTTATTATTATTATTTTGATTATTAAGGTTAAATGATATTCACCCATAAACTCGATATAAATTGCTCTAACAAAATATTGATCAAAAGATTGATTTTTTAAGCAAATATTTAGTCCAATATCGATCAAATATTAGGACGTTTATAGATTTTCGTTATTATGTCTGTATGATTTGTCAAAGTTTAAAATATATGTATATATTAAAAATAAAATAATATTGATGGAAACGTCGTTTAATAAATCCGTACTATTCATCTATTGTAGATCGTTCAGTTTGGACGTTGTGTGACAGTTTGTTTATTAATTGTTTTAGAAATATTGATGATGGAATATTTATGATGCATACAGTTGAAAATTAATAGGGAAAATAGGTATAAGATGACGATGAGCTTGTTCAGATGATTTAGTTAAATATAACGATGATTGATGTGATACTGATACTCCAAATCGTATGCAGCAAGCGACGATTTATTGATGCATGAATTTACATGTAGCTCGCGATTTTACTCGGTTTCTGACTCTAAATTCATTACGTATTACGCATTCTGATATTTAAATTCATTACATATCACGGATTCCGATCCTAAACTCATCACATATCCCGGATTCTCATTCTAAATTCATTACGTGTTACAGATTCTGTTTCTAAATTCATCACAAATTAAAATTGTAATCTAAAAATTGTCGAAAAATACTCGGGAATTTCACGTCCATCGACAATTATAAAATTACAAAAATATTCAAATACAAATAATTACAAAAATTATAAAATTACAATTATAAAAAAAATGTCAAAGACTGCTGTCTACCAGGTTATTATTTACAACTTACATGCCTATATTATTAGGTTGTCCGAAAAGTGTCTTTCCTTTACAGACACAACTTTTACAACGATGCATCTTTATACAAACATGAAACCTAATCTGTCGAACGTTGTAATTTTTATCTTGATAGAAAAAAATAGATCATACGTAATTCGATAAAATAATATAAAACGAAAAATGTCGTGCATCCATTATTTCCTTATGAAATGAAGGAAACTTTTCGGACGACCTAATATTATGATAGGTACTAATATGTATCAATACTTCAACTAATAAATGAATTAGTCGATTGATGCACGAACCTCGCTCACAAGAGTATTTTTCCGATCCTGTCACCTATGTATTTTGATTGTGAATTCGTCACACGGTACATTACGATACAAAATTTGTCCAAATATGTCGTGGAATCTGACGCTCACCAGCAATGATAAAGCTCGTGCCTCCTTCAAACGAGCTTAAACACGAATGAAGGGACATTTTCAACGAGCCATGCGAAAATAGCCCGTAAAGCAGCAATAAAATGTGAATTTTCTGCTCGCTGAAACGTTCGAATGCCCGAAACCCGGGCTTTACCCGTTTTAAACGGGGTAGAGGGGGCTTCATAAAAATTTGAATGCAATTCACTCGCGGGTACCTCGCGTGTGTCGCCCAATTTTCCCAGCTTTTTTCATGAAAATGTCTCTTCCTCCCCCTATTATACACAAAGATAGAAAGACATAGAGAGAGAAGAATGCAGAGAAGAGAATGAGACACGGAGAGATGGATCGATTCGAGCGTTTATATTTATTACCAGTTTGTCGTTTCGCTATTCTAATTTCAATTGCAACCCGACACCAGGCTGCCTGTAATTACGAACGTTTAAAAGCTTCGGCGACGTGTACTTTAGTTTGTAAACAATTTCAAACGCACCCAAGCCCCCGTAAGCCGAATTAATGGTCTCACTTTTAATTACCACTCCGCGTGCGTCCGGACGCCATTCGCCACTCCCTTTTTTTCGTCGTTTAATTTAATTGTTTGTAACGATTACTCGCCATGCTTTTTTAGTTCAATTGCAGCTGGTAAGTTCGTACGTCTTCTCGTCTTTCTATCCCCATCCCCAACAGTGCAAGCAAGTTCTCGCGAAATTGAACGAATTTTTTTTCCAGCCAGCTGGATGCGCGACGCTTTTTTCGCACAGGCTTTTCCAGGCAGTTGCTGTTGCTGGTTTATGGGATGGTTTGAAAAAGATCGACGCGTTACGTTTCTGGGGCTTTTAATTTGGTGATCGAGAAAGCTTGGAAGAAATTTTATGGCGAAGGCTGGAGAACTTTTCGAATTTACGCCAAGGCTTGCTGAAGACCAGCGGTGTCTACGTTTCGTATTTTTCATGTAGAAGTTGGATATTAAGAGATTTAAGGGTTTTCAAGTTATGGAGTTTTAGTAGGTTCGAGCAAAATAAATTAGTGGCATATAATATCGGGGAAAAAATAATAAAGAAATCCAGCAATAAGTGACGTTACTAAATTCATACTATACACATGTGCATGCACAATTCATATTACATACAAGCTATAATACCATTTTTCAATGATCGAGCTCATCATCCCCGGTTAACAGAATCATCATAATAATAAAATCATATACATATATATATATATGTGGATAATACAACGACACCCAAACACTCACACTGCTTTCTATCTTTACCCCAGATCGAAGCAAAGTTAAGATATACTTTATGTGGACCTGATTAAAGTTTAGTGCCCTTTAGTACACTAACCCTTTCCTCCAGTGTATGCATATCTGTCATGAATAAAATATCAATCTTAGAAATTCAATACCCGTGCAGGACACCATTAGCTTTGCACGACTCGCTCTATATAACTTACAATGCCCAGTCTCCAACTTTAATATATACTTTCTACAGGAAGTCAGTTTCTGAAAAGTTTGAGCCAACGTCGTTCCACGATGTAGAACGATTTATCAGTGCCTGGAGCGGCCCTATGGGGTTGCATAAAGACTCCAGGTTCACCGAGCCGATCCGTCACTGCGAATAATCATCAGAACGAGGTTGATTTTATTGGCAATGAGCCTCGGTTATCGATCGCTCGAATGATAACGTACATCCGTAAATAATAGCGAGTCGATCGAACGAGAGTTATCGATTGACTGTTATTGTTATTGAAACGCGTATCAGTTGGTCCAGTTGAAAAACGTCTCACAGTTAAATTACTCATCTTGGCGCGCCGGTGAAATAAATATGGCAGTGAGCGTGTAACTACCTGCCTTACGTCGAGCGAACCATCGACGTTTACAGACGCGTTCCGCCGTATTTACGGCCGCAAAAAGCGCGGTTCCGTTCGCCGTTACGTCTTCCTTGGGCGACGAGCCGCACAGCTTCCCGTTCAGTTTTACTCGAGCAACAGCACCAGGATAACGAAAGTTGGTGTAGGAGTTTTTATTGCTCGGTTATGTCCGCGGACGTCGGAGAAAATCTTTCAGGGTTTATCTCTACATGCACGAAGATGTGGAAATGGAAAATAAAGGTTTAAAGGCTGATGAAGATTTGTGTTGCGGCGAAAGAAAATGGTGAATCGGTGGATTAAGTTTAGTCAGCAGGCTCAAGGAATTCGTATTCCATGGATGTTAGAGATATGTATCTGCTGAATAGGGGAAAACGTGATTAAATTAGGTTTTGTTATCGATAGATTTCGAATTTTTATTTTTATTTTTCGGTTTATATCTTTGTGGGCGCAACTGGAGAAATAGAACTTAAATAGAGATTCGTCCTATCTATTAAAAGATACGAGTATTTCTAATTTAAATATTTCATATGCTTTTCCATATTATTTTGTATACTTTTACATCTTTAGATTTTGTACAAATACATAAAAATCCGTGGTAATTATTACGGATGTGTTAACGAGTGAAGAGAATGATTTTACTTTTGTGGGGCGGATGGGATGGATACTGCGCGGTTCGAAGTTTCCATTTGTCGGTTGCTCCCCAACCGGTACGCACACCCACGTAGCTCGAGAATGATTTTATCTTAAAAGCATATAAGGGAGTTGCTAGATTTGTTAACGAACTTGTCGTAGAATACAGGGAATTGTTAGAGTAATTTGTATAGAAATATTGTATCAGATAAACAGTTTACGCTAAATAAAAAATTTGAAAGTTTTTAATTTCAAAGTATGTAAGTAATGATGTAAAAATTTATCAATTTAGAAGCTTAAAAAATTCCATAAGAATAACTTGTTGATAACAATTTATATTTTTGTTGAAACGGTTAACAACTACAATTCTACGAGCTAGTAACGCCGTCGGCCATGCCTTCCTTCGAGATTAGTGATAAACTACACCGGCAGCGATATTTTATCGACGATGCTTCGAATTTATTTCGCTCGGCGTGCTACGGGGCGGTTCTTTCGCGTGATTCTTACCACTGAGAGGCATAAGAAAAAGGAAGCGAAGGAGAATATAGACTTGGACAGAACGGGCGAGGAAAACCCAAGGAGAATGAAACTTAAAGGAACTGCTCGAGATTTTGCGAAATTTATGACCAAGTATAATGGCCAACGCTGAATTTTCTTTCTCAAAAGCTGCCGCGTAATTCTGTCAACCAATCCAGCACATTTGTACGCTTTCCTGCTTAAGAAACTCTACCGTGGCAGGCTCTTTTTAAGAGCAGCTTGCTACTATTAAAGTTTTCTTGGAAAGTTTGTGAGATTTCATTTATTTAAAAGTGTGTAGCCTGGA